ATTGGAGTGAGGAGTGGCGTAAGGGTCGTGTGGTCGCGGAAGAAGCACTGAGACGCGCCCGAGTCCAGCGTGAACGACAGAGACGCCTCAGCCGGAGGGTCACCTAACCCAGTCGCTACACAAGCACCTAGAGCAGCAACACAAGCACCTAAGCTAGACAGGCACAAGGCTACACTAGCAGGAGGCAAGCAGGCTAAACTACGAACACGCGAGCACACAGATCCCTCAGCACTAAAGTCAGCATCATCATACAAAGCATGCTGACGCGCATCGTCCATGGACATATCAAAGACATCAATCTTACGGGTTAACAGACGAGACCAGCGAGGCGTGACCGCTAGGGGGCCCCAACGAGCCCGGTAGAGGTCGTCGAGGCGGCAAAAGCACCGCGCGGCAGAGTGGTCGTCGCGACCACAGAGATAGGGGCTGCCCGGCCCGGTGAGGCACCAGTGGGTGCAGGGGCCAGCGTCACGGCGAGGGGGGCGAGGGGCCCAGCTGGAAGAGCTGCTGCTGCGGCCGGTGCTTCCAGGGCCTCCCGAGCCCCACTGCCGCGGGGGACCCCAGTGCTGCTGCGGACCCCATTGCAGCGGGGGCCCCCACTGCCGGAACTGCTGCGGTGCCTGCTGCTACTGCTGCTGTCCCTGCTGCTGCTGCTGTCCCTGCTATGGCTGGTGCTGCTGTGGCTGCTGCTGCTGAGGGGCAGCACCCCCACCGGTCGGGCCACCACTTCTGGGTGGACCTGTTTGTCCTGCGCCTCTTCCAAGGCCCCCTCCCCCTAGTGCACCACCGCCGCCGCCGCCGCTGGCGCCTCCACCACCACCGCCGCTCCCACCTCCACCGCCCCCTCCACCGCCACCTCCTCCGCCCCCACCTCCCCCCTTCCCGCCCTTCTTGCCACTCTTGCTCCGCTTCTGCCAGCCTGCGGCATAAATGGCAGCGGTGTCCTCAGAGACCGACACAGCAGCAGAAGCGTGGGTAGCGATGAAAGTGGGAAGCTGAGGGGCGGCACACCCCGCAAAGAGACGGGGGGCCACCGCATCAGTGGCGGAGGCAACGGTGAGGAGGCTGCTCTCGATGGTCCCGAGAGCAGTCTGAAGGAGGTTTATAGTGAGTTCAGTGGGGTGCTTCTGAAGAAGTGCGTCGCGGGCAGTGGCAAGGTGGTCAAGGAGGCGGGTGACTAACCAGTGCATAGTGAGCCACATGGGGGGGGGGGGAGAAACATGGAGCTGTGTGTCGGTACAGGCCGAACGAAAACCGGCGTCAAGCGAGCGGAGGTGAGTCACTAGGTCGGAAACAGTCGCAAACCAGCCTAGGTCGGGAAACACGAACGGCATGAGGAGGCGACTGAGGGAGGCGGAGGAGGGGGTGGAATAGCGAGCCACAATAGCATCCCAAACCCCCTTGGCTGTCTCCACCTGGTCAAAGTGAGCGGCCTCAGTCGAGGGGAGAAGCTCCGATAGCGTGAGGGCAGCGGCCGCGTCACGAGAGAGCCACACGTCCCGAGCCAGGACCCGACGGTCGTAGTCCGCCTGGGCCGTAGGAGTCGGCTCCGGGGCGATCGGCAGGGCGGCGGGGGACGGGGGTGTCGCGAGAGCACCTGACGAGTGGGCCCACAGAGTGGCGCCGTCCTGACGCTGGCTGGTGAGGAAACGTGTGGTCTGGCGCTGCCAGGTACTGAACTCGATCGGGCATCCCTCAGCATCGAAACGGAGGCGACGGGCCTCCATAGCGGAGCCCATGCTAGAGGCGACTGGAGCACGGCGGAGGCGAAGCTAAGAACGAGGAGGAAAACTACGGAGGGCTAGGGGCGCCAGCGAGGAAAACGACGAGAGACAGTCGGCGAGAAACTAGTCGTGGGGCGGGGCTCTAACCGAACCTAGGTGGCGCTACCGGAGGGAAGAGCGGCTGCCAGCCGCTGAGCCGGGAGCCAAGTGCAGTAGGAATGGCGTGGGACCGGTGCACAGGTGAAGGGGAGGGAGATTAAGTAAGCGCACAGAGTGATGCGGTAAGTGTACGCAGGTGTGCGGTAAGGGCACGCAGGTGTGCGGTAAGGGCACGCAGGTGTGCAGGAAGCGCATGCAGGTGTGCGGGAAGCGCACACAGAGTGATGCGATAAGTGCACGCAGGTGTGCGGTAAGCGCACGCAGGTGTGCGGTAAGTGCACGCAAGTGTGCGGTAAGCGCACGCTGGTGTGCGGGAAGCGCATGCAGGTGTGCGGGAAGCGTTGACGGAGGAGGGCGCACGACAGGCGGAGGGGAGGGCACGCGATGGTCTAAGGAGGGCGCGCGACGGTTGAGGAGGGCGTGCGACGGTGAGGGAGGGCGCACGGCGGTCTAAGGAGGGCGCACGACGGTTTTGGAGGGCGCGCAACGGTGGGGGAGGGCGCGCGGAGGTCAAGGAGGGCGCGCGACATGCTGGACAGCACGGGAGGGCGCAGGCTAGGCGCGAGGAGGGCGCGGAGGGCGCGGGAGCACGGAGGGCGCGTAGGGCGCGGAGGCTAGCTAAAAACGAACGAGGATCTAACCTACTCTTGATACCATCTCAGAATAGGAATGCAACTGAATGGTGGAAACCCTAACAACTGTACAAATATGGTGAAAGTGTGAGAGTACAAATATGCAACCCTAACAGCTGTACTCCCTCTTGTGCTACTCACTGTAGCCTACAAGCATAGAATTACATTTGACAGGGGGGGGAGGGGGGAGAGGGTGGGGAGCGACGGGGCCGTGACGGGGCCGTGAAGGCGGCAGGGCCATGACGGTGCCACGACGGGCCGCGACTTCGGGGCCACGATGAGGGCGTAACGGGGCCGCGTCCGGGACATGACGAAGCCACGACCGGGTTTGCGGCGGGGCGCTAGAGGACGAGGGTTTGGAGGAGAGGGGGGGCGGGGAGGAGGGGGGGGGGGGGGGGGGGGCTAGAGTTGGGCTAGAGGGAGGCCGCTAAAGGGTGGGCCGGTAGAGGGGGCCGTGAGGGAACAAGGGGCGGCTAGGGATGCAGGAGGGGTAAGAGCGAGGGACCTAACCTAACCTACTGTTGACCTTGCCACACTCCTTCACCTCAACGTCTCTATTGACTAGAGTCTACCTCTACAGGCGCAGCAGTCCCTACCCCTTCAACAAACGGGGGAGGAGGGGGTGAGGGGTGGGGGGGGGGAGTGCCCGTGGATGAAGGTAGCTTTCGTGCATATCGTGAGAGACAAGAGTGCCTTTTTACATAGCATTATGTTTTAGATCTGGATAGCAGGCAAATGCACATATTTCGAAGAATGAAACACAGCCAAGCTCTCATTGAATCACTAACAGATCAATACTACTTCTCAATGGTTTCTGAGATGCTGAGATACAGGAACTCACAACAAGATTATATCAGCAGATACAACAGAAGCATTTATAGTTTTCCAGTAGCAGCACCCAGCATGAACATATTCGTTTGATTAGAATCCATAGGAGTTGATTTCTCGAGCTGCTTCAGCAACAAGCATATTCACGTCGCCCGCAAGGACAGGCTCCTCGAAGGAGACGATCAGAATATTATTAGCGGACGTTTTATGGATGCAGCAACCACCAACTTTCCGGTTCTGCGGGAATAGCAACGTCGTCAGTGTGTCTTAAAAAACAAAACAGAAATAGTAGAACCGATGCAAGAACCATTGAAGGGACGGTGAATCAAGTTGGTTGTACCCACCTCGTCTTGCTTGTTTCTTCCACGAATGATAACGCCAGGAACACCTTGGATGACCAGAAACTTTTCGTTACCCAGGCATAGCCCATTCGCCGTAAGCACATTCACGTCGTTAAACCCGTCCACAATAGCTCTAATCTGATCCTCGGTAGCCTGAAGATTCCGGGAAAAGGAGCCATAACCGCATAGCAATGTGAAATGAAAATCACATGATATACTGTGGGGAGATGGCATATGACACATTATCCATCTCACCTCTGGGAAGTTATCGCTTCGACCCCGAAGAGAGCCATTCTGACCATAAGCTGCCGATTTAATACCATCATATCGGAGGCCATTCGAATCGGACCCGTCTGCCCTTCTCGACAAAATCTTCGATTCGAGCAAATGGTTGAAGTAATTCTCGGGCAGCTCCTTGTCCCCCATGGAGGCTGCGGCACGAACCTAATTGGGCTGGCACGTTGAGAAAGGAAATCGCAGCCAGTTGCGGCTACTACAAACTAAAACTGGTAGCACTTCGGGATATTGAATCGCAGCAAATGCTTTAGTCTCACTAAGAGCTAACTGAAGCGTCCTTTCGTTTCCCTTCACACACCCAGCCCACTTCACTCCCCTCCCCCCTCCCCCGCCACCCCCAGACGAGCCCCCCTAGATGCAGGATCGCGGACCGCGCTTGGACCATTATCCTGGACAAGTGATGACATCAGTGTTCGATCAGGAGCGACTGTAACCACATTTGGGATCTCGCCAGCTGTAATGGTACCACATTGTCACCGTTTGCGATACTTCGTCGTGTAACAGAATGGTCGACCAATTTTATCGCCAACGGGAGATCACAACAAGGCTGGATGTCAGTGGCACGAGGGAAATGCTGGAGCAGCTGGATTTGACGAGTGCCCGTACCCAATCGGAAAAGGATGCGACGCTACTGGCCCGTTTTGGTCAACTACGCGGAGGGGGGGTGCGGAAGGGTTCACAAGAGGTGCGCAAGCGCCATGCTCGCTTGAGGGGCAGAGAGGAGGAATGCTCCATTGTGAAAGTCAAGAAGCCACTGTGGGATGGGGGGGCGGGTTGCGTATGCGGGCGAAAATGAGCAGCACTACTGGTCCGTATGCGGGCGACGTTTCCACGTGGTAGAGATTGAATGGTTTTGTCCACGCCAGCTTTCAAGATCTTGAACAAACACTGATGGTCTGGCAGAACAAATGCCATTTAAAAAATAGCATAATGTAAAATTCTTGCATTCTGGAATGTTAGCTGGTTGTACCTAAACTGAAGTATAGAAACCGTGGTCAATGGTATAACCCTAACCTGGATCATCGCCCGTAGTCAATGGTCGCTCCATCCGAGCTGGAATCATCTCCTGAGTCACTGGTGCTGTCATCCCCAGTAGAGTCCCCTCCACTGGAATCACCCCCATAATCACCTCCCCCACTCTCATCTGCACCACCAGTGTCCCCACCAGAATTGCCATCTCCGCTACTGTCCTCTTCGCTACCATCTCCCTCCGTGTCTCTGCACTTCCCCCACTGACACTTACGCGAAAAGCACGCCTTGACAGGCCTGGCAGTCATATTAGCCGTGAAGAGTTGACAGCTGAGTCCCGAGAAGGTGTACATGAGGCAGGAGGAATCCTTGATACAAGAACCCTCGCACTTCTCCACATTCCCCGTGAAGAAGAGGTTACCGTCCATCACCATCAGCTGCTGCCCCTTGTGTTTCTCACATATCATCTTCGGCACAGGAGCCGCAGGAGGCGAGCTGGCAGGTTCACCCTCACTCGTGTCTGCTGGCGGGGGTGGCTTTTTCTTCTTCCCCGTGCTTGGCTTGGCGGGAGAAGAGGGAGGAGAAGGTTTTGCATCCGAGCCTGATTTCTCCGAACCCGAATCAGCCTTCGCCGAATCCGAGTTCTTATCCTTGCTGGGCTTTGAGCTGCTAGTTGGGCCGCTGGACGGCTTCGGCGTTTTGCTAGCCTTGGAGGCATCTGAGTCAGAGCCTTTGGGCGATTTCGCTGGGCTCGACGTGCTTCCTCCCGAGGGAGACGCAGGCGGCTTCGTTGGCTTAGCGGAATTCGATGACCCTTTCCCTTCAATGCCAGAGCCCACTTCCTGGCTGTGTTTCGTCGTCTTGCCCTTCTTGTGCGAACGCGCGGAAGTTGTGGCGGGAGGTGCGGATCCCCCACGCGAGCCGGACTTGCCCGACGTTGGCTTCCTCTTGCCCCCTCCGGACTTTGAGCCGGAGTCAGCTGGTGCCGCAGCGGGGGTGCGTCTCTTCTTTCCCTTTCCAGACTTGCTTCGTCCGCGCTTGGACCCTCCAGAGCTACCCGACGCTGGCGAAGTCGTCGCGGCCTTCTTCGCTAGTGGCGCGTTCGCCGTCTTTGCCTCAGACTTCTTCACAGAGGTTTTCTTCGTGCCCTCGCGAGCCCACTTATGTCCGCCCTTCTTCCTCTCACCAGCAGACCCCGTTGTGCCCTCGCGAGGCCACTTGTGCCCACCCTTCTTCCTCTCGCCAGACGACCCAGCTTTGCCCGTTTTGCCCGATGAAACAGCCGTCTTCTTTCCTTTCTTCCCCGCCTTTTTCTTTCCGTTCTGCAGCGAACTGCTCGTCTCACTTGCTTTCGCCGCACCCCCCGCTTTCCCCTTTTTCCCACCCTTCCCCCGCTTCCCCCGTTTTCCCCGCTTCCCCTTCCCAGAAGTGGACGACGAGAGGGCTGTTCCGGCTCCTGCTGACGTGGCGCCCTCTGACGCCGATTTTCCCGACTGTTGCAGTTTCTTGCCGCTGCCCTTCTTGTCGGAGGCTGGCGCGGAGCTTGCGCGGGCGGGGGAGCTTGCGCGGCCGGAGGACTTCGTGGGGGCCGGGGTGGATTTGAGGAGGCGGTAGGGAGAGGAAAGCGCAGGCGATGTTGGGAATAAATCCTCTATGAGCGATAGAGGCGAGGAATGCGGCCATGCGTCCCGGTCGCCTGCGGAAATGCGACGCAGCCGAGAGAATACGGAAGGTTAGGGTCAACGCGGGGAGCGGAAGCGCGAAAACGAAGGGTTGTTACACGGGTTACAGCAGTGATTTACAGCAGCGAACAGAAAACGGAACACAATAGCCCTTAGAACCGTCGAAGCTGTATACATAGGAGAGCTTACCGTCCTCGATAGCTAGTGGTTGACGTGGAGAATTTTTATCAGGCTTCACCGCTGGTGCCGCGAGAAGGATGAGCAGCGACACGCATGCGATCAGCGCAGCCGGGCTAAACCGGCCCATTTTGGCGCTTGCGGTTCACGTGGTGCCTCAGGAAGAGATCTCAAGAGGCGAGAACGATATCCAGCTGCAGCGCGGCGAACTTGGCTCGGAACTTGAAGTTATGAAATACTGATCAGACGCGACATAGATAAAAGGCTGGTACGGTAGTTGAATGCAGGGCGAAGCGCTACAGGCCTGAATGTGACCTTGAGTATGGGTGTGTATCGAGGCGACAGCATATGACGTGGTTAGCAAAGCTCGAAGGAGCTGGTTTTGAGTGAGAAGTGAACGTTGGAAGCTGGAGCTTGGAATTGGCAACCGCAGTCGACTCATCATTGTTGGTGAAATTCACCCCCGAAATTTCGAGCCGCGATGCTGTTTTTGTGTCATGCCGATGAGGAAGGGGGACGTGCGCACGAAAACATGCCCATGACTGTTGTTCGCTCAGATCTGGCAGAATGAGGTTGCGATTTCGCATTTCAATCTACAGTACATTGTCCTACTCTTCAACAATTTTATGAGGTGCTTCACCTATCACTACTGAATATGTTATCTAGGACGTCCAGACTATTAAGACAAACAATATCCATTGCCCAGACCCTTCTACAAGTGATCACTTTTCATCTTCAGCAACTGAGGGAATCCAAGCGGAACAGGTACGTTGTAGAATCCCAAGTATGCCCGGGCTGGCCGAGACTTCAACCCAAGCGAGTCCAATTTGCAGTTCATGAACCGGGGCCATTGCTTGAATATAGGAGACGTCGGCTTCACCTCCAGGCTCCCAGTCGTAAAATTCACAAACTGCAGGCCCGGAACATTGGAAGAAGTGTACCGGATGCTCGAGAATTTGTTCACTGTAGGCACTGAAGGGGTCTTTTCGCAGCCCTGAAAGCTCAGCGGGAATTTGCTGCCGTCCAGCAGGGCGAGATCGAGGATATTACTGGTCGGGAGGCCGCTGCACTTGCCGGTTTGCCGTGCGTTGAGGGACCCGGCTGTGGGGACATTGCAGGGCACCGTGCCGATGCTTGCGTCCTTGCAGATTTTGCTCAGGAAGGGCCAGCGCTGGAAGTGATGGTACGCAAGGGTGTGGAAGATGAGGGAAAGGAGGGGCAGACACAAGTGAGAAGGGGAAGCACTCGAGTTACATGTGCAAGAAACAGGGTATCAACAACTGCACAGGGTATGTGGTTGAGGATACTAAGAACTATTCATGGCAAGTACCTTGTTAATGATCGGGGAGTTGTAGTACTTGATCCGCTTGCTCTCCCACAGCTTGCCTGTGGGCGTGTTGCAGTTGATGGTTGTGACTGTGGGACACGTCGCTGACCCCGGGACGGCAGTGTAGTCCTTCACCCAAACGTACTGTATCCGGTTCCTGTTTTGTAAAATAAAAGAATAGTCAATGCATAAAAAAGGAGGAAAAAAGGTTGAAACAAACACGAGAAAGTCTGCCGAGCGATATTTTCAATCGACCATTCTTAGAGCTGAAGACGCAACCAATATACAAACAACAAAAAACGTACTCTTTGCCATTCTCAATGTTGACCCCGTTAAAAGCACCCATGCACGCGCCCCCCAGGACGACAACACCGGTGGTGTCAGCCTCTAGGTTGAAGCAGCTGTTGCCACCCAGCATGTAGTTGCATGACGCCGCATTGCCTGATGGGAACAAGCGGGGTGGGGGGAGCAAGTAGGGGCTGAGGTGAGCAAGAGGGGTGGGTATGGGTGCAAGCATGCGGTGTATTCAGAGAATCACAGGGAAGCGGATGTTGGCGATGGATGGCGGTCTTGGCGGTGACGGTGACTTTGGGGAATAAGAACCAGTTGCGGCCTATGAACGTCATCACGCAGCTAACGTATTGAAAGCGGCCAACCGATATGGCATGTGCATGTGACGGTGCGTGCGAAGGCGTGCAACCCGAGCCTTGTGCGCGAGAGAGAGGGAGAGAGACGAGTCACTCTGGTGGGTACAGGGGGGCGAGTGCGCGCACCGGGGCTGATCCAGTGCGTGGTGAAGCGGATATTCGAGATGTCGGTCTTGGCGGTGATGGTGACGTTGGGGAAGAACCAGTTGCGCCCGATAAACGTCATCATGCAGCTCCCCGCGTTGTTCACGTGCGTCCCGCACTGCACGCCGCTCCCCGTGTACTGGTGCAAGAAGTTGTTCACGACCTGCACAGGGGTGGCGAGGGGTGGCGAGGGGTGGCGAGGAGCGGTGAGGAGTGGAGAGGAGTGGAAGAGAGGTGGTGAGGCGCCAAGTCCAGGACACTTGAATTGGAGCACGAAAGTGGGCCGAAGGGGGGGATAAGAGAGGGGGAGGGGAGGGAGGGAGGGAGGGAAGACGACACTTGTGCATGGTGCGGTAATAAAGAGAAATAAAAAGCACATGGCATCATAGTGACTGTATTCAAGTGTAAGGTGGTAAGATTTGACTGCTAGCCGTCAGACGTTACCTGCACGCCGACGGCACCGTTGGTCAAGTAGACGGGCGTGTTGACGACTGCAACAGAAACACGGGGAATGGGGGTACGGGGTAACGGGTGAGGGGATGAAATTGTAGATGGAAATGGAGGGGAGAGGAGGGAGGAGGAGGGAAGGGGAGGGGAGGGAGCGAAGAACGCACAAACGGCGGGGGAACGTGGAGTTAGGAGAGCAAGATTAGGAGGGAGAATGGGCATGCGCATGCGCGCGCGTATAAGCTGCCACGCTGTGGCTCCTCAAGAATCGGAGAAGAGCGAGGAAAGGGAGATGAAGAGGCGATATTACAGAAGGAGGCAACGCGTGTGAAGGGGCACGTGGCAGGCACGGCCGGCGACTCACCGTAAATGTCGTTATTTGAAAGCACGATGCCCGACTTGATCGCCCGGGTGCCGACCCCGCTGAATGCGACGCGGATGGAACCCGGGCTTTTGGCGAACGGGAACTCGCCCGTGATCGCCATCCCGTCGACTAGCGAATTCATCGTGCGATACAAGTCCAATCGCCCCCACAGGTAACCCTGTGCAATTTGGATGCCGAAGGATTTGTACACGTGAATTGTAGGGCAAACCGCCCCCGCTCCGTGCTCCGGTATCCCCTTGCAAGCAGGGGAAGTTGGAAGAACGCCCATCCAGAAGTTGATTCCCCATACAATCACGTTAAAAGTCTCGACGATTCGGAGGATTGGCTGATCGGCTCCGGCTAACGAGATCGTACGGTTGCCCGTGACGTCCGCTTGCAGGATCGTGCACGAGTAGTAGGGGCCAAAAGCGAGGCCTTTCTTTAGCATTATGTCCGCTTTTAGCGTCATCAGAACCGTCGTTATTCGCGGATACTTGAGGCGCTTCACGAAGTCAGCCTCGGTGGTAACCACGATGCGCGGACTCGCGGGAGTAACCGGGGAGCACACGCCTTTTCGCTGCGCCAGTGAGTATCTCGGCCCCCCCCTTGCTCCCGCGCCCGCCGAACCGCCAGCAGCAGCGGCAGAGGCAACACCTGCACCGTTAGCCCCAAGCCACCCGTCATTTCCGGGTGACGTGGCCGCCGCCTCTGCCACGTCAGCTTCCCCATCCGATGGGTCTGTTGGAATGAGAGGCTTCCGATCCCCCAGCATCCAGGGAAGGGTGTACTCGCTATGAGGCATCCAATGAGGACGTGACACGCCACCACCGCTCAAAAGCCTGCGGCGAGCGCTCTCTTGGCGGCGCAGGAAGGGGAGGTTTTGCCAGTCTGGCGGAGGCACGGGGAAAGGATCGGCCGTGAAGGTCCGCGGAGACCAGGTATCTTTCTGCGCGGCATCGGCACACGGCAAGAGGAGGAGCGCCACTGTGGCCGCCAGGAGGACCGCGCCGCTTCCGAGTCGCCGGGAGAACCCGGCCTTTTCTCGCGGAGACACCATTACCAGCTACGGTGACGGGACGACTGCTAAAAAGCTGCTTATAACTTCGCCTCAATTATTCAGGAACGGCCGCGCGACAACAAACGCAGACGTGCGGCGAGTTGACTTGCGAGCTAGTGAACCATCTAAAGCTGCTGTCTATCTCGGGGAAAAGACACGTCCGACTTCAAATTAAGGATGGGTCTGAACAAACAGGTGTCGCATTTTGGAGAAGAGCAACCGCCGAAAGGCAGGAGGGACATAGCATTTCAGCGCGAGCAGAGCAACCCTTTCCCACACCCTCCTCCCATCCCCCTCCTGCAACCACCACGTCTCGCTGGTTCGGAAAGAGTGGTGGTGGTGGTGGTGTAACCACCAAACGATAGCGCCCCTCTGCGCATGCTGTAACTGCGCCTCTTCTGCACGGAAAGCTGCACTTGCCTTGGATTTGCTGGCTGCGCTGCGTTGACCTGTTCGTAGGCTCGGCTCGCCCGAAACCGTGCCAGATGGCTTTGGGCACCTGACACCAAACCTAGGAGTGCGCTTTGCTGGGCGTTACCGCGTCTCCTATTGGTGCAATCTGGTTCTGTGAGTGTCTGGTTTGCTGGCCCAGCCCAGCCTTCACCAGCGTTAGCGGTGCGGCTTTCTGCCTTACCCTCTCACGACAAAAATGCATGATTGGCCGGAAGTGGGGCTCAGCGAAGCGCACCCTACCCATATAGTCGGTTGTGCGGTGCTTCGGAAGGAACCCCGAAGGGCCACGTTTTGGTTGTGTGTGATGGCTGGACTGTGTGTTGGCTGCCCGATTATGAAAGTCGTCATAATAGACGTCCGATCCGTTTACATTTCTTACCTCGACGACTCAGATTTGGCGTTTCTGCCCGCAAGCAGCACACAAACCACAGGTCAACTTCCACAGAAATATTCCGAATCTGGAAACATTTCTGACGCTCACTGAATCATATGAGGCGCTTACACATACTTTGGCCCGTTTTCACTTTGTGATGAAGTAGCTCCAAACGGGTATGGGGACACAGCCACAACTGCGAATTTACGCCCTAGCAAAACCAGATTCCAATCAGGAATACTCTAATCTATCGCTGGTTCGTTGCGAATACGCCGACCTTGTAACGAGGACAATGGCCACAATGTGCGCCGTGTTTCCCGCCACGATGGAAATTCAAGCATTCAATCAAAGTACGAAACCTACCACAGAAATCTGCCGCGCGTTGTCAGAGTTCTCGATGGAAAAATCACTCCGCAAATGGCAAAACAGACCAGCGAGCAATGCAGACCTTCTCGGCGGTAGTAGCTTCACATGCAGTCGACGTAAACGAAACATTCTCGCAAATGGCGGATTGCTCGAATGGAGAGAATCTCCCGGCGCGTCTCTAGCAGCTGTGGCTGCCGCCGCAATCGGCGGAGCGGCAACCATCGCGATGGCGGGCGGATTCGGCGGAAATCGAGAGGCGGCGAGGGCAGCCGTCCGACGTGGCATGGAGCTATTTGTGGAGGTAGTTTATCGGAAGGGCGAGAGAGTGGACTCTGGCGGAGGGAGGGCGGGAGAGAGGTCTCTAACACCCCTAGAGTAGCAGTGCGATGGGCAAGGCTCGGTGGTAGAGTTGAACAGAGCTCATGCCTCGTCCCGTGTCATCACCATAACCCACCCGCCAATGCGCCATGACTGATACACTATTCCCCATGCCCCATGATCCATGCCCCCCACGCCCCATGCCCCACACCTGGCGTGCCATCACCACCAGAACGACGTGCAAGGCTCGGTTGTGGAGTTTGACAGAGCGCTACAGCTGGACCCCTCGCAGGAGCCATGTGAGTGCCTGTTGAGGCGTCTGAGTGCCTTGTGATTGCCGTTTGAGGCGTCTGAGTGCCTTGTGATTGCCATTTGAGGCGTCTGAGTGCCTTGTGATTGCCGTTTGAGGCGTCTGAGTGCCTTGTGATTGCCGTTTGAGGCGTCTGAGTGCCTTGTGATTGCCGTTTGAGACGCCCGAGTGCCTTGTGATTGCCGTTTGAGGCGTCTGAGTGCCTTGTGATTGCCGTTTGAGGCGTCTGAGTGCCTTGTGATTGCCGTTTGAGACGTCCGAGTGCCTTGTGATTGCCGTTTGAGGCGTCTGAGTGCCTTGTGATTGCCGTTTGAGGCGTCTGAGTGCCTTGTGATTGCCGTTTGAGGCGTGTCGCGTGATTAACACTTAGCTGGCAACTAAGTGTGAATTACACAGCAGCCAAGGTGAGGTGTACTATAGTTTACTGCTTTTTGCATTTTACTTTGTTTGCTCTTTTGGAATGTTACTGTACTATACAGAGTCGAGCTGCTGAGGATTTCGAGGTGGTTGGGGGGGAGGTTGGTGGCGAATTCGATTCCAGCCAGCCTGGGAATTCAATTCGCCATTCACCAGGCTGGAAGGCGGTGCATGCCTAGTGGGCCGAGTGGGACCCAGCTAGCACCTTGAAGCCTACGCGATCAGCTCGGCTGACTCGCGCTTAGGAGTAGAGGTAGCTTGCGGGACAAGGCACCTAGGCAGGAGGGGATGTAGACTGGGGTAGCGCTCAGACTCGTTGCTTTTTGCTTGTATGTTTCTCGTTTACTGCAATTGTGATTTCCTAAACCACGGGGAACTAGCAGTAGAGAGGAGCTGAAGCAAATCGGCGGAGCCCTTGCGAGGGAGTTAAGTCTTGTTTCATACAAGCAAAAAGGGTAGTCAGGATTACGATTGTTGAGAGAAGAGGTGGCAGGATCTACTGCCTGGAGTTGCCCACGGTGATGCACCGTGAGGAATGAGTAATTTCGACCGTGAGCTTCACACTCATCAACTGCGCTCTGGACACCGATTCCCGGCGAGGATGATGGAGGGACGTGATCCGCCGGTCAGGATGCCTGGATTTCGGGCGGGCGAAGGAGGGACGATCTCGCGCGGTAACCAAGGCGGGGATCGGGAGGAAGAACGAGGTGTACACGGAGAACAACAGTCGAGCTCTGCATGCGACTCGCCCGCGGAGAGGAGTGGAGGGCGACCTGTGGGGAGTGGATCTCGCCGAGGAAATCCAGATCTGGGAGGAGACGATCAACATGAAGATCGACGAAGTCAGAAGGGAGGAGAAGATCAACGTGAAGAAAGGCATAGTCTGAGGGGAGGAGACGATCAATCGGTGGAACGACGAAGTCAGCGAGGCAAGGAAGCATATCACGGATTCTCTGCTGGAGGATACGAAGCCATGGAGGCCGGGAGAGCAGGGCGACCTGCAGGGAGTGGAGAAGGAGGGAACACAAGCTGGGGGACAGGCAGGTCGATGAGTACTACACCACCCAAAATTGAGGTACCAGACCGCTTCTCGGGGGCACCCGGAGAGGAGCCCACGCTGAAAAACTACCTGATGATGATTGAAGACATTCGCTACTGCTGGGATAGGGAGCGACTGGATCCTATTGAATTTTTCAGAGGCTTGGGGAGGACTCTCAAAGGAGAGGCGTTGACTCATTACCGCGTGGAGAGGCAGGGGCTGCTGATGCGGAGCAACAGAGGAGATATCTTACCGGCAGATATTACGGACCGTTTCTTGGAAAGCCTGCAGGAGCAGTTCCCGGGGCATTCGGCTGACCGGATGGCGGAGTTTCAAGACTTCAGAAGAGCGCCGGCAGAGTCGATGTTGGCCTACTATAACCGTTTACTGGAGCTGGCAGAGGATATGGGCTGCGTGGAGGAGCGCATCCTAGTGACCAAGTTCGTCAACGGACTGGATGGGGACTTGATACGAGACATGAGAAGCCGACTATACTCCTTGGGGGTACGGGCGAAGCTGCGACAGGTGTACCAGGTGGCGAAAGAAGTGGAGGATGGAAAGAGGTTTTTCGAAGGAATGAGGGGGTCAAGCTCCAGTCGGCCGAGCGAACGTCGGAGGCCTGCTTGGGCAGCGGTGGAAGGGAGACAGGGGGAAGAGGAACGAAGAGAGAGGCCGTCTGAAGATAGACGCAGGTGTTACAAGTGCGGCGAAAAGGGGCACGTGCGGAAGGACTGCGCCATAGACATAGTGTGCGACACATGCAAGATGAAAGGACATTTCAGACGTGACTGCCCCAAGGCACCTATCTGCACCGGGTGTGGGAAAAGGGGGCATACTGAAGACAGGTGCTACAGCAAGGGAGAGAGAATGCGAGGAAAATCGGCAAGGGAGTTACAGTTAGAGAGAGAGGTGGCGAAGCTGAAGGGACAGTTGGAGAAGACTGAGATTAGTGAGGACCCTGAGAAGGCATTGCTGGCTTGGGAGGACGATGAAGAGGAGGAGTATGAGAGAGAGGAGGCAGAGTACGGGGCCATGGCCATACCACCTAGAGACCGAGAGGAGTTGGGGCTGCGCAGCGGCGGGAAGGATGGCAGGACAGAGCAGAAGCAGCCTGAAAGGAGAACCCCTCGGCAACAAGAAGAAAGCCATAAGCCGAGGACGGCTCGACGGCATCCTGAGGAGAGACTCGTCTGCCAACCCACGGCCCTGGTGGTAGAACCTAAGGCAGTGGCTGTCAGGGGCATATTAGTGGAGAACGCCGTGGTGGATACAGGCGCACAGAGTGTCCTGCTGGGAAGGAAGCTGACAGAACAGTTACGGGAGAAAGGGGACTTGGAAATAGTAAACAGAGGCATACTGATCATGACAGCCGAGGGAGGGGCACCAAAGTGGATGCCCTGTACTAAGGACCCCATCGAGATTACTCTGCAGCCGGGAGAGAAGGGAGAAACGACGATAAGAGTGCAATGTGGGCTGACGGAATCGGAGGATTATGATGTTCTGCTGGGGATGGAGCTGCTATTCAAGATAGGTACAACAATTTGTACCTGGCAGGAACAGGTGCTCTACCGCTCGGATTTCTGGATTGAGGGAAAGGAGTTGAGTGAGCTGCCAGTGCGGTTTGTCAAGACAGAACCGAAGAAGGCTTGGAGGGCGGAGGGCATGAGAAGAGAGAGCGTAAGGAGGGGGAGTACCAAAGAGGGCAAGGTCGGAGCTAACCTGAA